ACGTCCAGGAGTATTTTGAGTATTTCTCGAGAAAAGTCTTTTTAAGTTTTTAGTCTTTTCCCCATATGTTTTCAATGGGGAAATTCATTCCCGAGATTTTTCCTTCAACTTTACCGGCTTATCCATGGTGATCTACAAATGAAAATCACAAATAAACTATTATTCCTTGTCAGAAAAACGTTCCTCACCATGAATATCAAGAAAAATTGTGCATTTTCAAAAAAAAAAATTTGACAACTTTTTCGATTTTTGTCCACGGAGTGCCGCACTGTGCAGGGGGGCAAAGTTGCAATTTTTTCAAAACTTTAAAAATCGATGTCTCGCGAACGGTTTGAGTGTAAGCGTTGCGGTTTGCGCTAAAAAACGTTAATAAATATTCTCTACACGAATATTGATGCTGTTTGCATGGTCGCGTAATTTATCGTAGTTATAAATCGATTTTTTCGATTTTGAAGGTTCGACTTTTTTTCGTTTTTCGTCCCTCCTCTCCAGGAGATCGTTGCTATGTGAATAAAAACCAGTTGAGGTGATTTTCCATGAAATTCTGCATCTACCACACTTTGTTTGACCTTGGGGAAACGATTCATTCTTGAGTTATAGCGATTTTTCTGCGCGTTCCCGGTTACGCGCGGGCGGCATATCGGCGGCGCTCCATCCCCCCTGGGCGAGGCAGAGGTTGTTTCACTGCTAGGGCCTTATATTCATGCTGTAGGCTGTAATTATTGATATTTTCTCCTTCCCCCACCCTTCCCCTCCTACAAATATGTTTTTTATACTTCGTTATACAGGGTGTCCCGGACCACCCGTGCCAGGTCTTTTTCTCGGTTGGTTTAGGTAGTACGAAGTGGGGGACCGCGGGGTTAAACAGGGAATTGACCCCAAGGTATCCGAATTTCATGGTCCCGAAACTCTCCATGCCGCCCTTGGGGAGTAAAGAGGGGGTCACGATCCCTAAAGTCGGGAGACATTGTGCCTCCCTCTTTTACCCCCCAAGGGAGGGTAGGAAGGCTTCGGGACCATGAAATTCGGATACCTTGGGGTCAATTCCCTGTTTAACCCCGCGGTCCCCCACTTCGTACTACCTAAACCAACCGAGAAAAAGACCTGGCACGGGTGGTCCGGGACACCCTGTATAACGAAGTATAAAAAACATATTTGTAGGAGGGGAAGGGTGGGGGAAGGAGAAAATATCAATAATTACAGCCTACAGCATGAATATAAGGCCCTAGCAGTGAAACAACCTCTGCCTCGCCCAGGGGGGATGGAGCGCCGCCGATATGCCGCCCGCGCGTAACCGGGAACGCGCAGAAAAATCGCTATAACTCAAGAATGAATTGTTTCCCCAAGGTCAAACAAAGTGTGGTAGATGCAGAATTTCATGGAAAATCACCTCAACTGGTTTTTATTCACATAGCAACGATCGCCTGGAGAGGAGGGACGAAAAACGAAAAAAAGTCGAACCTTCAAAATCGAAAAAATCGATTTATAACTACGATAAATTACGCGACCATGCAAACAGCATCAATATTCGTGTAGAGAATATTTACTAACGTTTTTTAGCGCAAACCGCAACACTTACACTCAAACCGTTCGCGAGACATCGATTTTTAAAGTTTTGAACTAATTGCAACTTTGCCCGCCTGCCCCCTCCCCCCTAATTATCCGAGGGGGCTGAAATTTTGCTCAAGCATTGGGGACACTTAGTACAACATCTGAGCAAAGTTTGGGCCAAATCCAGGGGGGGGGGCCAAAATCGGCGTTTTTGGAACAACCTCTTTCATGGGGGAAAAAAGAAATTTCACGAAATTTCATTCGATGAAAGGACCCTACAACAAAACGGCCAAATCGGCCTAAACACGGAATCCTACGATTTTCTCAGGGATGAAAGAGGGTCTTCCCGGACACTCAAAACTGGTCATATTTTTGCCTAACCCCCAGGGAAAAGGGGGGGATGGGGGGTCAAAGTCAAAAACTTTAAAGTAGCATTACTTCTCAACGGTTTGTTGTAGAAAGATGATCTTGGTGTCATAATTTTCAGAAAAATGAGAGCTTTCAGAATATATGTATGAAATTAATAAAATTTTAGATTTTGACCCACTTTTGGGGGAATTATACAAGGTCATCCCCCTTTCGTAAATTTTCGTTTTTCGATATTTTCGGTCGTTCGGTTCGCACGGAGCAAAACAAAAACAACCTTAAATGAAAGGAGAGGACATAAAGTTTAAAACAAGCCCAAGTTCATCTTGGGGAAACGATTAGAAGCGGAGTTATGAGTCTTCAAAGTTGACGCAGCGCGCGGGAACCTTGTATGTTCCGAGTCTCAAGGTCACCTGCGCCCCCTGGATTGCCTGCAGGTTGCAAGTTTTCGTGTTTTTATGCTGCTGTAGGTTGTTTTTAATGTAAATCATTCAATGAAGAGAGAATAATCGGAATTTTTTAATTTTACGGGTCGAGCGAGAGGGGGCTTAGAGTGTCAACCATGATGTCCATCATACCTCATTAAACATTTGCTGACGATGACGATTCTGCTCTTATAATTTAGAAGAAACCATGGACCCTCAGTTCAAATATACATATGCTCCATACAGAACCATTTAGAAATTATAACCCATTGATGCCAAATTTTGGGGTACCCCTAATTTTAAATTTTTAAATTGAGCTATAAGCTACACCGCTTGACGAAACTCACTTGGTAAAGCCAAATAGTTTCTCGTAGAAGCAGACGAGCTTTGAGCTTCAAAACAAGTCTCCGTTATTCTTGAGAGGGCAATTTGAAACGCAGTTAAAAATTTTTAACGTTAATGTAGTGTACCTCACCGAAGGCCTATTGTGTAAAATTAAAAAATTCAGATTATACCATCTTCATTGAATGATTTACATTAAAAACGACCTACAGAAGCATAAAAACACAAAAACTTACAACCTGCAGGCAATCCAGGGGGCGCAGGTGACCTTGAGACTCGGAACATACAAGGTTCCCGCGCGCCGCGTCAACTTTGAAGACTCATAACTCCGCTTCTAATCGTTTCCCCAAGATGAACTTGGGCTTGTTTTAAACCTTATGTCCTCTACTTTCATTTAAGGTTGTTTTTGTTTCGCTCCGTGCGAACCGAATGACCGAAAATATCGAAAAACGAAAATTTACAAAAGGGGAACCTTGTATAATTCCCCCAAAAGTGGGTCAAAATCTAAAATTCATACATATATTCTGAAAGCTCTCATTTTTCTGGAAATTATGACACCAAGATCATCTTTCTACAACAAACCGTTGAGAAGTAATGCTACTTTAAAGTTTTTGACTTTGAACCCCCATCCCCCCCTTTTCCCTGGGGGTTAGGCAAAAAATATGACCAGTTTTGTGTGTCCGGGAAGACCCTCTTTCATCCCTAAGAAAATCGTAGGATTCCGTGTTTAGGCGTATTTGGCCGTTTTGTTGTAGGGTCCTTTCTTTTAGCAACTCTGATCGAGGGGCATATTTTCCCAAAACTCAACCCCCGAAAAAAATCTGGTTAAATCCAATGTAAGACTTTGTCTCATAACTCATTAACAAATGGATATCTAGGTATACAGGGTGCGGCAAAAGTCTAGAGACGGCTGGATATTTTTTGAACGGCTGGAGTTAGAGAAACGAGCTTTGTGGTAAGTTCCTAAACCATAAGAAACTATTTTTTGAGGGGGTCAAAATTTTGGGGGGGAACAAAAGGAACCCCTCGAACTTTTTTTTCTCCAAATGGCAACCCCTATCTTGTGACACGTCATTCAAAAGGGCATAAAAAAAGAAAACTTTTGGCGCAAACCGGAAGTCTCTACGTATCATTGAAACAAAATGGCAGCCTAAAACCGGTCGAAAATCGGTATTCCGACTTGTATCAAAGATTCGACTTGGAATTTGGTCTACGGGGGTTTTTTGGGTCAGGAAAAACGAATTTGACCTTTAATTTTCAAAATCTTTGCTTCATCTCAAAATGGCGGCCTAAAACCGGTCGGAACCCGGTTTTTTGGTTCGTAATTGATAATGGACACATGTGGAAGAGGGGCAAAAGCAAGTTAAACCTTTCAATCGTGGACGTTTCGGGAATCAAATGACCGTATCCATTTTCCCCGAACCAAGAAACTGCCCTGATTTCATTTCTTGAGCGACTCCCTTGATTAACAGCCGAAAAACCGGGTTTCGACCAGTTTTAGGCCGTCATTTTGAAATGAAGCAAAGATTCTGAAAATCTAATGCCAAATTCGTTTTTCCCGACCCAAAAAACCCCCGGTTACTAAATTCCAAGTCGAATCTTTGATACAAGTCGGAATACCAATTTTCGACCGGTTTTAGACTGCCATTTTGTTTCAATGATAGGCAGAGACTTCCGGTTTGCGCCAAAAGTTTTCTTTTTTTGTGCCCTTTTGGATGACGTGTCACAAAATGGGGGTTGCCATTTAAAAAAGAAAAATATAGGGGGGCTGGGGGGGGTCCCTTTTGTTCTCCCCAAAATTTTGACCCCCTCAAAAGATAGTTTCTTTTGGTTTAGGAATTTACCACAAAGCTCGTTTCTCCAACTCCAGCCGTTCAAAAAATATGCAGCTATTTCCAGACTTTTGTCCCACCCTGTATGTACAATTTGCACAGGTGACTCCAAAATTCAATAAGCCAAAACTTTGCTGAAGTTTAAGCTGGAAGACCGCTTTTGTATTGATGAACAATCAATTGTCACATGATCGTTGCACAGAGCACAGATGAGTTTCCAAATTATTATCTTCTAAACTAAATTACAAGGAAGAGGAAGAAATGTAATAATTTTCAAGTCATTATTTATAACACTTCAGATTATATCACTTGTTATCATTTGGAGGCTAGTTTGAAGTTTGATCCTCACCACCATCAGTTAGGGGCTAGTTTACAAATTATCCATCAGAAACGGAATTGACGAATTCCCTGATATGTATTCTACTTACTCGTCTAGAGTGTCGCATGTACGTAGCTATTTTTTCTTCTTCTTTCTTTATTGTAGGTGGATTTACTTCAGTCAAATTCCACTTCTCCCAGAGTTGGAAGCCCTCCAAGAGGACGTACGCATCATCGATAAGTGTCATCAGCATCTTATCTCTGGTGGAGGAAAAATTGATTCTTTTATGGACGCCTACAAATACACCTTCTCCACTGTTGGTGAGAACTTCTCATTAAATATACGTGAAACCGTATCTTGCTGAAGTATAATAGTATCTGTCTTATGAGGGTATCATATTAATCAAATGCTTTAATTAACTCAGAAATTTTCTCTTTGCTCCATACATATCGATTCGATCTGATTAACACTGATTCTGAATTGGTGCAGGTGCTAGGAGGGATGACACAAAGAAACGGGTAGCAGGCTTGCCCTGCGATAGGTGTTGCACGTTACGCTTTTATTAGAGACAGAATATGACATAGACATTTTTGTATTTAAAAATTTCTACAATTTTGTATTTGCAACTTGAGACCAGAAGGGGAAACAAAGGGAATGTTGCATGAGGTAGAGAAAAACAATCCGGAATGATCGTTGTATAAACATTAACAACAATCAACTCAATCGTCCAATCAAGGTTATCTATCCAGCTCTTCAAGAATAGTGTATGTTTAAAGCAATGAGCAAAAAGGACAATGTATCCATACTTATGCAACTGATGAAATAGCAGTAATGGTAAATAGAGAAAAATACGCAAAAATCTACACAGCATTGATTTGATCATTACATTCTGTGAGTAATTTGATCAACACACGCCAGGTATAGTTTGATCGAAATACATAATTTGGTAGGACGAGGTTGTTTCTTTATCTGTGAATGATCACCTGCTATTGTTGGAATGTTTTAATTTTTCAGAAGACTGGACTGGCCCAATAAATTATTTTCGAAATTTGCCATTCTGTCAAGTAAGCAATAAGAGTGGGATGATTGAGGTCCCTTGTTTGCTCATTGTAGGTAACAAAGACAACTGTATCGAGCTAGAAAGCATCATCAAGTCAACTGAGTACACTGAAAAATACTTCCTGAAAGTCATTGAAAACTCTGGCCACTTTCCTCATCAAGAGCACCCAGAAACAGTGAATCAAGCCCTGGCCAAGTTCCTTCTTGGTAAGCAACGCATTTTCATATACCAGGATTGGCCAAAGAAATGCTCTATGCGCCATCCAACGATGTGTCACAAGTGGGCAAAGGGGGATCCCCATCTGAAAATGCTGATATGGGGGGGGAGAGTGTTCTTACCTCCCTGGTTTCTCTCGTCGTAGATTAATAGCAACCTGAAAGGTTACTGGCAACTTCTCCTGTAAGATCGCGCATGGTCACTTCTTAGAAGCCGACTTGGGCGAGATTCCCTAAGAAATTTGTAACGGCAGGCCAAGCGGGGGTCATATGGATTTCAAGAATTGGAGCAAAAATGATTGACTGCAGTTCCTCTGGTAGCTATTATTCTATGCCCCTGTGACCATGAGTTGCGATCCTCCAAAAAGTTTTCCCCTCAATGACTAGGACATCAGTTTAAATTAAAAAAATTTAACACAATAATTATAAAAGTTATGGCGTATTGAGCGCTTCTTTTGCTCATCTCGGAATAACACATTTTGCATTTTTTTTTATCATTCATTCTGGTCTGAATATGTACCTTTGGGGCAGGTTTTGCACTTCTTTGAAAATAAAGTCTGCTACCAATATAGCAGTGCTCGAAATCGCGATGATGAAGATCTTTTCCTCAGATTTTCCTTTATATTTTTGAGGAACCGACAAAATAACCCCTGGTGGTGTATTTTCAGCATCAGTTTCTTTATGGCTCCATTTTCAATTTCGTTTAATTGTAGAATGGCTGCAAATTTTGTGTATCCTAAAAAACAGCCAAGAAGAATGAAAGCCCCACGTATATGTAAAGAAGATTCTCGGTTGACTTGAAGAACAATTACTGAGGGGCTCGGAGAGGAAGGCCCGAGTGCAGTTTTTGTTATTTCAAGAAATACAGATTGAAGTTTCGAAATTACATGGATCCTCATGGAAGAAAGAAAGTTTAAACTGACTGTTTAATTCTTAAAAATTGGAATTTGGGGGCGAAATTTTTTCAGAATATGCATTAAGACTAGTTTATCCTGAAATCAGTAATATCTCAATTTTTAATCGTATTTATCGTATTTTCCATGTTATATTTGTTATTTGTCATAAAACAAAATTTAAAATTCATATTTTCCACATGAAAGCCATTATTCACTTCCTAGAACCTTCGACGTCATAATTAATCCAATTTTCGGCATTTTAGGACGATTTTCTCGAAAATTTGGCATCTTAGGAATAAGGTACACTCTTACTTTTATTCATTACATTATGTTCCCTTCAAAAACATACACAGTTTGCAGTCTAAATTAAGTTTTACTTAAGTAGAATTGAAAAAAACCCTCTAAATGGGTGAAAAATGGCAAGCATGGTCTGGGAGGCCCTTAAAAATTCATCCAAGGCCTTTTAAAAGGCCAGAAATGGAAAGCACGCGAAAAAATCCTTCAGAATCATCTTGTAAAGCCTGTCGGTGGCAAGGGAGGGGGTGTGCAGACGACTCTGAGCACCCAGCATCCGATTGGCGTGCGCTAAGCATAAACTTCGACAGCTCATATCTCACGTACCAATCGGTTCCTTGGGAAGTATAATATATCAAAATGTACGGAAAAGTACGACAAATAAAATGAACAGCTTTGTGTTCGAATCGAGAATCCGGCATTTGACAATGTACTAGGGTTGAAAAAAATTTGGCCCTTAAGAAAGTGTGAAAAATGGCATCATTGCAACCTTAAATTACCTCAAGGATCAAATTGGATGCATATTTCAAAAGAATCCAATTTTTGGAGAATTTTAGCGCAAACCGCACCTAAATAGCTTTTTATGTTCGAAAGAAATGGAACTCGATGGTTTTCAACTCGGCAACGCTGCTACGCGGATCGAAATTTTTTTCGAAACTTTGGAAAAAGGCGTATCCTATAGTAAGGAATAATATAATGAAAATTGGTCAAAATCCACGAGGGGGGGGGGCATTTTGCCGATAACAGGAAAAGCTAATATGCCCAACACCGTAAAAATTAAAGTCCACCAATTTTATACAAATTTCATTACTTCATTTTAAAGGTACAATCTCTCTGTAGTGGATTCTCAAGGGACCGACCACCTTTGCCGCCATAGAGAGGGATCCGTTATGGTGAAAGTATGACCCAAACAGACAGAAAAGCAACAGAAAATCAAATTGCACGAACACGTGGAGGGGGGGGGGGCAATAATGAAGAATTAAGAGACGTACCTCACGCACTCGATGTAAGTGATCTTCGTTTGCTTCTTGCCAGTACGGAAATGAACATCCTCGACTTCATTAGTCCTGCATGTTTGTAAGCATTGGCAATTGTGGTCGAGGTAATGCACAGCCATGCTCTTTCAAGCAAGCATACGAGTAACGCAAAACTGCACTTTGACCCGCCCGAGACTCCGAGGCCTCCGGTCGGTATGATCTCCGCTGCCAGACCGCCGCTGTAGAGAAAGTCACTGCCGCTATACAGAACGGAAGATACGGGTATTTAACATAGGAAGTTCAAGAAACCGGCCTATTTCGCCGCTACAGAGAAATTTCCATTTTAAAGATGGCCGCTATAGAGAGATTGTGCTGTATTAAACTACCTTTTTTCAGCTTTGGCACGAACTATTTGATTCAGTACAAAGTGATAGTGATTGACAAACAAGCCATTGAATCACAGGTGTCAGCTCCTCCCGCGGGACTACCGGAGGTTCACGCAAACACGGCAGCACTGCCTAATTGTGTCAGTTACGTAACTGACACTTGAAAATGTGAAATAAAAGATGATACAAAAAATTAAACTTGGCAATCAATTCTTGAGATATGAGGTGGTATTAATACTGCCTTAAAAGTTTTTTAAACTTTGGGGACATCCTGTTAGTTCAATAATTTTAAATTGAGGATTTTGTGTACCTAGTGTGTGATTAGTGCTGCCGACCTAAAAATCACCGGTTTTCATAAAAATTAAAGTTTTCATGGTAGAAAAAGCCAACTTATTAGTAAGGTTTGGTCGAGAAGACTCCAGCGATTAATTTGATGACAGTTTTGAAACTCCTGGTTCCATCTGGCGAGATAAATACTGCACTTAATACAACTGCGAAAATACGTTGCCGATTGTGGCGACATTCTTTCTGATGACTTTTCTTGCTTAAAAATAAACATGTAAGTTCAAAAGGACAATTTTCTTGAACATAAGAGTCTCCTTGCGGCAAATATTGCCGAAGAATCCATGATCAGTACTGATTTATCACCGCGAATTGCTTTTTTTGCTTCAAAATCAGGGTTGGCGACGCGTAACCGACCGGATATTTTCGGCCTTTAAAGTCACATATTATTAAATACAATCATAATTTATCATACTTTTTAGTATGGATAAGTTCAAGGATATCATTTCTATTGATTTATCAACTTGGTTTTCAATCGTTTTGCGCTGTGTCATTTATAACCCACGGTGACCCGACCATTCCTTTTATCGTGAAATCACCCATACACTCCATAGGTTAACCAAGAGTTTTCAGGACTTCAAACTTGATATAATCCTAAGCAAAATTATGTGACTGGCGATGAGAAAAAAAGAATGTCGATATCTCTAAGGAAATCCATTCTATAGAATGGGCCCATTTACACGAACGAAGTTATGTGCTCAAAATTTCAATTGCAGATAGACCTCTTTTGCATAAAGTAGTCGAAACGTCAATATTTGATCATGGGGATCTGCATGAAATGGAAGATCTCATTCCTGGATCGCGCGACACCTCACCTGCCACCCGTAGAGATTCATACAGAGCGTGTGTTACCTACTTGAGCATGATTTTCATTTACCATTTTGGATTTGGAACATTCTTCGCATTAAATGTCGGTTTTTGACTTGAAATTCGGATTCTGCGACCAAAGAAACGTTGAAATCGATACCTCACTCGGCGTTGTTTCATGGTGATGATTTGTTCACCCTCGCGGTGGCAATTTTGGCTGCCTTCGGCTGAAATGGGTGGGAGGGGGGGGAGGTTGCGTTCCAGGAAATTCGGAATTTCCAACATGTATCCTCTTCCTGGATATCTAAACCGCGTATATTTTAATATTTTCACCTTTAGATCATCATGTTCCAGATGAACAGTAGGGTGGATCGCATTGTTCGACTTTGAGAGGAGAAACGCGTATCTTCGAAAAAAAGTTGTCAAATGGGCCCCATATGAAGTACCCAAAATTTCGCCGCATAAAATTGACCCCCTAGTGCCGCATGAAGGACTAAATTTTTGATATATTATATTAAAGGTTCAAACACATGTTTCCGTACAGATTTTGTCAAATTGCTGATCTAAAGGAAGTAAATTTCGTCCGTGTTGACGTATCGTGCACGAGTAAAGCACAATTGGCCTGTTTTCACCCGATAAATAGGCGGTAGTGTCCTCCAGAATGGCCCATCTACAGTAATGTCGTAAAAATAAGTGTGACAGATTTTGCCGAATTACGACCACAAGGGCCGAAAGAGCTTGATGCAAAAACAGCTTTTTTCGCCCCCCCTCTGGAAGTTCTTCAGACTTTGTCTATTGATTACTCATACTTGAGCGCTTCTTTTCCCAAATTTTCAGACCCCCAAAAAATTTTGGGGGTGAGCTAGGAGGGGTGGAAGTCAAAACCTCTGAACCTCGATATCTCTTGAACAAAGAAAGATATCGAGGTCCGGTTTGGACGAAAAATCGTCTAAATTTGCACATTTTAAGATTCTAAAGGTCGAAATCCCGATATCACATTTTTAAGTCAACATATGTGCTTTTTTCCAGTTTTTAGGTCGAGAAAATTTTTTTTAAACGAAAAATTTACAAAGATCTCAATTTTTTATTTGAACCAAAACCAGTTTTTTAAATTGTTCGTCTTTTTCCGCATCCAACGAGTGGTCCATTAAGCTAGGGAACCAAGCGGTTCCGGAGTTATGATCGATTGAAGTTTCCGCTCAACGCGCGCCGACCGATTTTCGCGCGCAAAAAAGTAGGATTTGACTGTTATTAGATCAGATTCAATGTTCAAACTGAGCAAAATGCTTCATTAGGGACTCTTGAGGGTCGCTGAGTTCAGAAATTACAGCTACTTCCAAAAAATTCACGTTTTTAAAATTGCAGCTTCTGACAGGACCACTGAGCGGCCAGTCGGCGCTCAGTGGGCCTCTAAAATAGCGCTGCGGAGCTGTAATTTTAAAAACGTAAATTATTTGGAAGTAGCTGTAATTTCTGAACTCAGCGACCCTCAAGAGTCCCTAATGAAGCATTTTGCTCAGTTTGAACATTGAATCTGATCTAATAACAGTCAAATCCGACTTTTTTGCGCGCGAAAATCGGTCGGCGCGCGTTGAGCGGAAACTTCAATCGATCATAACTCCGGAACCGCTTGGTTCCCCAGCTTAATGGACCACTCGTTGGATGCGGAAAAAGACGAACAATTTAAAAAACTGGTTTTGGTTCAAATAAAAAATTGAGATCTTTGTAAATTTTTCGTTTAAAAGAAATTTTCTCGACCTAAAAACTGGAAAAAAGCACATATGTTGACTTAAAAATGTGATATCGGGATTTCGACCTTTAGAATCTTAAAGTATGCAATTTTAAACGATTTTTCGTCCAAACCGGACCTCGATATCTTTCTTTGTTCAAGAGATATCGAGGTTCAGAGGTTTTGACTTCCACCCCCCCTAGCTCCCCCCCAAAATTTTTTGGGGGTCTGAAAATTTGGGAAAAGAAGCGCTCAAGTATGAGTAATCAATAGACAAAGTCTGAAGAACTTCCAGAGGGGGGGCGAAAAAAGCCGTTTTTGCATCAAGCTCTTTCGTACGTTTTGGCGTATTTCTAACCGTTCACCCACAAACATGCGGAGAGGGCGTTCGAGCGATGCACCGCGCGGATCGTCGCGCTGCGTCCACGTGGTGCCCGCTTTGACCGTTTGGGGCCGGCCGGTCGGTCCAGGGAAACCCGGCGCGACGCGCGGCGGCAAGGTGCCGGCACCGGTCGGTGTCTATGCAGCTGTAATCTCATTGGCAAATCCCGTGTTCGGGAAATTTCAGCTATGGGGAATCTTTGAAAGTTAGATAAGATGAGTGACGATCCACGACCCTCTGAGTTGTACTAGTGCTGACCTACTGTGATCAGTTGTCGCTCAAGTTTCTTATCGTTACGATCTCGCTCCTGTGACTCGAAGTGAAGTGACTTGTATCTCGATCTTTCTGTCTCTCCAAAACAGCTCTTTTCAGTGCTTAATTATCGCGAACGGAATGGCGAAAAATACGCCCCAAAGTTCGTCGCAACCAATTTTCGGCCGAGCGTCAATCCCGGCTTGTTCGCAAAATTAGGGCTACTTAGTGCTACGACGCGAGATACGTAAAAATTGTTTAATGCTTCAATAAAGAAAATAAAAATAAACCTGAAGTAAAAAAAATTGAAGACTTTAGGAAAGTGGCGAACAAACTTGTTGATATTTGCCCGTAGTTGCGTAGCTTAGCGAATAAGTCGGGATTGATGCTCGGAACCTTTCACGAACTTTTTCCACAACACGGTCAACCACTTTATGCACTGTTGGTTCAAGTCCACCGTTTTCCGATCGTAATACTTCACGAGTGTAAAAATAATATTTTATTACTTCCGTATAGGCTGGTAAAACAGTTCCTCTTAATTTTGCTTTGGGGCGTATTCTTCGCCATTCCGTTCGCGATAATTACGCACTGAAAAGAGCTGTTTTGGAGAGATAGAAAGATCGAGATACAAGTCACTTCACTTCGAGTCACAGGAGCGAGATCGTAACGATAAGAAACTTGAGCGACAACTGATCACAGTAGGTCAGCACTAGTACAACTCAGAGGGTCGTGGATCGTCACTCATCTTATCTAACTTTCAAAGATTCCCCATAGCTGAAATTTCCCAAACACGGGATTTGCCAATAAGATTACGGCTGCATAGACATCGACCGGTGCCGGCACCTTGCCGCCGCGCGTCGCGTCGGGTTTCCCTGGACCGACCGGCCGGCCCCAAACGGTCAAAGCGGGCACCACGTGGACGCAGCGCGACGATCTGCGCGGTGCATCGCTCGAACGCCCTCTCCGCATGTTTGTGGGTGAACGGTTAGAAATACGCCAAAACGCACGAAATTTCGGCCCTTGTGGTCGTAATTCGGCAAAATCTGTCACACCTCATTTTACGACATTACTGTAGATGGGCCATTCTGGAGGGCGCTACCGCCTATTTATCGGGTGAAAACAGGCCAATTGTGCTTTACTCGTGCACGATACGTCAACACGGACGAAAGGACTACGTGCAAAACGGGCCATTTGGGGCTCGGGGCGGATACCTTTGAGACTTGCCCTATTCATTCACCTAATAATGCCCCATCTTTTCCCAAAGTTTCGAGCCCCCCAAAAATTTTGGAAAGACGTGGCGGGAGGTCAAAGTTAAAAACCGGCCAAATTTTCGCGAATTTATTACTCGAAAACCAAGAAGTTTTGGAAAACGCGGTTTAAACGAGCGTATTCAACGTGACGAGAGCTTTCAGAAAATGTATAACATCATAGGGTTTTGTCAACTTCAGCTCGAGTTATCGCCTCCGAAGCGCCGGAACGTTCAAAAAAGACCCCTTATTTTTTCACGTTTGGGCCGATATAAAAAAAGCCATTTTTTCATTTTGATAAAAAACTGATATGTTGTCCTTGACTATCTGTAGCCCCTCTAGCTCTTTCCTGCATGCTGGGGAAATGTTTTGGTCGCGAGTTATAAGAGCGGAAAAGAGAGAAGGTCGGGAAAATTGGCTAATTTAAACTGCGCGCGCGGCGATGATCGGAAGGAAAGCATCCCCTCCCACTCAGTTCAGCGAATCACACTCCTCTGCCGACCTCGCATTGTTGCCACATGTCTCCTGATCCGTCGCCGCGCGCAGTTTAAAATAGCCGATTTTCCCGACCTTCGCTCCTTTCCGCTCTCATAACTCGCAACCAAAACATTTCCCCAGCATGCGGTAAAGAGCTAGAGGGGCTACAGAGAGTCAGGAACAACATATCAGTTTTTCATCAAAATAAAAAAATGGCTTTTTTTTATATCGGCCCAATCGTGAAAAAATTAGGGGTCTCTCTTGAGCGTTCCGGCGCTTCGGAGGCGATAACTCGAGCTGAAGTTGACAAAACCCTATGATGTTATACATTTTCTGAAAGCTCTCGTCACGCTGAATACGCTCGTTTAAACCGCGTTTTCCAAAACTTCTTGGTTTTCGAGTAATAAATTCGCGAAAATTTGGCCGGTTTTTAACTTTGACCTCCCGCCACGTCTTTCCAAAATTTTTGGGGGGCTCGAAACTTTGGGAAAAGATGGGGCATTATTAGGTGAATGAATAGGGCAAGTCTCAAAGGTATCCGCCCCGAGCCCCAAATGGCCCGTTTTGCACGTAGTCCTTTACTACCTTTAGGTCAACAATTTGACAAAATCTGTAAGGAAACATGTGTTTGAACCTTTGATATAATATATTAAAAATTTAGGCCTTTTAGGCCTTCATGCAGCATTAGGGGGTCAATTTTATGCGGCGAAATTTTGGGTACTTCATATGGGGCCCATTTGACAACTTTTTTTCGAAGATACGCGTTTCCTCTCTCAAAGTCGAAAAATTCGATCCACCCTGATGAACAATTGTACTAAACGCGGTGGGATTCGATCAGAAACAATAGAAAACTTGCATTTACTATAAAAATTTCAAATTACGATAATTCGATAATAGGATCAGCCAGGATTTTGATTATTCGTGATTTTAAGTTCACACGTATCGTAGATTCACCCCTTACAAACCGTTTCTGGGTACATTTTTCTCGGCTTCAAGACCACTGTGACTGTACACTGGACAGTTTTCTGCTCATCTGCATACGATCTGAACTGTTGTACACTACAAAAATCCGATTTTAGGACTCACGGAAAATTTACTGGCTATAAATTGGTCTAAAATTGACCAAACTGTCAAACATTGTATACCAAAAGAAAGCTCTTTTAATGACCCTTCATTTAAAAAAAATTCAAACCGTTTCTTCAGTTATTAGCAAAAAACCGTTTTTCGTATGTCCCATCCTCCCCCCAGGGGAATTTGAAAAAAATTCAACCATTTTTGGGTGTGTCAGTTCATGCCTGAAAAACCACACTTGAAATAAAAATGAGATTTCACCCTGGGCCCAGTTTCAATGGCAGATGGAACAATCTCTTCATGGTAACTCACAAAAAGAGCTTACTACTCTAATTTATTCACTATATAATATAACTCGAGAATTATTGAAAAAGCTCAAAAAGTTTCCTAATTTTTGCTAATTTAAGATAAAATAAACTTCTTAAGGTAAATGCACCTCTTGTTTTCAAGACTTTATGTCATAAAAGCCGTAAGGCTAAAAGGAAAAAAATGATTTTTAGTATGCAGAAAAAAAGTTTCAATGATGGAATGGAGATTCTGCATGAATTGGGGATTTCTTAATTGATGATTGTTTCAGAGAGAAATTTTACGGTAAGAGTGATGGATGCCTTGAAAAAATGCATCAGTACCTTCTAAGATTGGAAAAATTTTTGGGGCTCCCGACTAGTTCCGCTGAAAATTACATTAAATGGCAGCTAATGGCAAGGGAAAGGAGGGAAATGGCAGGGGGAATTCGAAAAAATTCAACACTTTTTTGGGTGTCTCAGATCATGCCCTTCAATACCTGAAAAGATGAGGAGATTTTATTCTGGGTCCAGTTTCAATGACAGATGGAACAACCTCTCTCTAACTTAACGCTGGCTATTTGTTGTGTTTTTGAAGTAGGTTTATTGAAGATTCCTTAACTTTGTTGCAACCCCCATTATTGCTATCAAAAATTTGATTGAGTACTGAAACTTAACTTTCAGGTGATGTAGCAGTGACTCCAGGTAAATCACCCTCTGGGTTGGTCAACCGGCTCTATGGCACAGTCATGTCTGCCAAAACGTATAGTAACCAGGTCTTTGGAAAAGCTTTATCATTCGGGCAAGCGCCTACCTCATTAATATCTGCTCTTAAATCTTGAGCCTACCAACTTCTTGATCTTTTTTCCGGTACTATGGTAGTTTAATTCCAAAAATTTCAAGACTGAAGCCATTTATAGCTGAAACTCAATTGTGATATCCATTAATAATTAAGTACATCACCTTTTAATACCCTATTCAATCGAGTGTTCTTAAAACTTTGCCTCTACTTTTTAAAGAAATAATTTAAAGTAATTTATTTTTCCTTTGTGCGTCATTTTGAGTTACCTTTTCTATTTATGTATTCCTATTGTGTTTGTTCTTGTCTTTGCTCTTTTTTGTTTCATGTTTTCCTATTAAAATCATCTTGGTCTCTGAATAAATGAGTTATTTATTTTTTGAAACAAGCAACAACTAACACTCAAGGGGGATCCTTTTAAAATGAAAGCATAAAAACTGTTCCTCAGTATTGTGAGAAGTACATTTGCATGATATTTCCGCCACAGTAATGTGACGAGCACTCTAGCCAAAATACCAGTATCAGATATTTTTGAAGTGGATACCATATTTAATACATATTTACCATCTATTTTATACAGTATTAGTCCAGTCATTCTAGTTATTAGTCCAGTCATTCTAGCTTTTTACCTCGGACAAATTAGCACAAACTTTTCCTTTGGTATGTAGGGTCTCCAGGTACTCAATTAGACAGAAAAAAAAGTTTACCAGAAAATTCCACCGGGAAAGTGGTCAAATCGCAGTTTTTCAAAATGGCGGCTTACGACGATTTTCAAAGAGGACGTACATACGGTTTTACCTTTATAACTCAAAAATAATGCGTCAAACCATAAAATTGCAAGAGATCAGATTGAAAGATCATAAAATTTTGATTGAGAATCATATACAAAATTTAGGCTTTTATTATTTTTTTCTTTCCGAATTTTACTATTTGAAAACAACAACCGGCAAAGTCTACTGAAAATTCACGATTTTTCGCGTTCTTGACCAATTTTAGGTCAAAATAATGAATTAAAGGTTAAAAACAACGACACCACTGAAAAGTACGCTAAATTTTACGTAAGTGTACCTATTCATTTTACCTTTTCATCTATTATGACCTCATTTTGAGACGAATCATTCAAAAGCATGAAGTCATTATTCAACAACAAATTCAGCTGTTTTTTCCGTTTCCAGCGCTTTTGATCGATTATTTTTCGACAAAAGTAGAACTTATATATACTTTATAGAAAGGTAATGAAAGAGGTTGTTCCAAAAACGCCGATTTTGGCCCCCCCCCCTGGATTCGGCCCAAACTTTGCTCAGATGTTGTACTAAGTGTCCCCGATGCTTGGGCAAAATTTCAGCCCCCTCGGATAATTAGGGGGGAGAGGGCAGGGGGGCAAAAGTGCAATTTTTTTAAAACTTTAAAAATCGATATCTCACGAACGGTTTGAGTGTAAGTGTTGCGGTTTGCGCTAAAAAATGTCAAAAAATATTCTCTACAAGAATATAAATGCTGTTTGCAAGGTTGCGTAATTTATCGCGGTCATAACTCGATTTTTTCGATTTTGAAGGTTCGACTTTTTTTCGTTTTTCGTCTCTCCTCTCTTTGGAATCGTTGCTACGTGAATAAAAACCTGCTGAGGTGATTCTCCATAAAATTCTGCATCTACCATACTTTGCTTGATCTTGGGGAAACGATTCGTTCGTGAGTTATAGCGATTTTTCTGCGCGTTATCGGTTACGCGCGGGCGGCTTATCGGCGGCGCTCCATCCCGCGCGGGCAAGGCAGAGGTTGTTTCACCGCTAGGGCCTTATATTCATGCTGTAGGCTGTAATTATCGATATTTTCTCCTCCCCCCACCCTTCCCCTGCAATAAATATTTGTTTAATACTTCGTTATACAGGGTATCCCAGACCGCCCGTAACAGGTCTTTTTCTCGGTTGGTTTAGGCAGTACGAAGTGGGGGGCCTCGGGATTGAATAGGGAATTGACCCCAAGGAATCCGAATTTCATGGTCCCGATGCCCCCCATGCCCCCCTTGGGAGGTAAAGAGGGGGTCACGATCCTCAAAGTCGGGAGACATTGTGCCTCCCCCTTTACCTCCCAAGGGGAGCATGGGGGGCATCGGGACCATGAAATTCGGATTCCTTGGGGTCAATTCCCTATTCAATCCCGCGGCCCCCCACTTCGTACTGCCTAAACCAACCGAGAAAAAGACCTGTTACGGGCGGTCTGGGATACCCTGTATAACGAAGTATTAAACAAATATTTATTGCAGGGGAAGGGTGGGGGGAGGAGAAAATATCGATAATTACAGCCTACAGCATGAATATAAGGCCCTAGCGGTGAAACAACCTCTGCCTTGCCCGCGCGGGATGGAGCGCCGCCGATAAGCCGCACATTGGGACGAGCCCATTACAGAAACGGGACATTCACGGTAAAAATGAAAATCATTAAAAGCAAGAACCAAAGGTGCAGAAGTTACCTGGAGGGTCTAAACCTCCAGAATAACGAAGATTTTAACAATTTAATTGAGGAATATTCAAATGACAGCCTTAGAGAAACGCGTGTTTCGGTAAGATGAAAAAAAGAGGCAAAAGCGCACGTATACAAATTTTGCTCCTCTAGCTTCCGAGATGATTTTAAATGCAATTTTTTGTTTTAACAATTGAAAACAAACATAGACTATTCGTTTACGTCTTTGGTGATGGTTACTTTTTACTTCCTGGGGTCACAGAGTGAATTCAAAATTGACAAGTCAAAAAACTAAAATTCAAACTTCAATTAGAGTTTTAAAAAAATGTCCAGACTTGTCCAAGAAACGGTTTGCAAATCGAGATTCTACGTATCCTTAGCTTTCAGAATCATATTAGTTTTCATCCGACTTCTTCCGACTTTGGAAGTTACGAGGGAAAACCTGAGCGCGGTTTGCTTAAAATCGAGCGCTTTCACAGGCCAATTGACGGTTGAGGTTGAGTGCAACGGGCCATGTTGCTGGCCGCCGCGCCGCCGCCGCCGCTGCGTTGCTTATCAGCTTGCTGCGATGCTCATCTGATATCTAGGATACGGATCAATATCGTCTTTTTTTGTAGACCGATTTTTTATTTTTAATTTGTAAAGCAAACAACAACAAGAATCGGATGATGTCGTGATGGAAACGGTGCTTAGAATCGAGGCTGACATTAAAAATTTAATTTTAACCAAAGTAGACGGTTTGACAGTGTCCCATGATTTGTATTCCATCATGTTTGATGGGAAAATTTGCAATATATTAAGTGGCAATAAATCCTCATTCTTATGAACGATATCTCAGAAGTGCAGAAAAGACCCCTAAGAAGCTCGGAGTTTCTGGAGTATGGAATTTTGCCTTGGCATCTCAAGATTGAAACTTTTGAGAGTCTGTTGCATATTTCGTATAATCAGGATTTCAGAAAGTGACGCTCAAAAACGGAAGAAGAAAAGTCCTTGGAAAAAAAACGGGGAAAAAACAGCATCTGTGTCAAAGAATGATAATATTTGGGAGCAACTTATTCGTTTATGATTTTCGGATTCACTTGAATGTCTGCCCATTGATGAACTCATTCCCCTATAGTCAAATATCGCTGCGGTTTTTGCGATAGGTAAGAAGATGGTGGGGGGGGGGGGTATTTATTCTTAATAGAAGCATTTCTCAATTTCAGGATCAGTGAATTCATTTTCTTTTTCAATGAAAAAAAGCAAACGACACGCGCGTTACATCTCTACCATAATCATGCTAATCTGTCTATCAAAAAGATTAAAACAGAGACTTGGCAACACAATTTTTTGGCGGGATTGTCACAATGAACCAAATTCTGAACATTACATTGGATTCCTTTCCCCAAAAAGACCGAAAATGTCAAGTTTTGAGAAGATCGGCGAAAAATTATCGTCTGATGTGCGAATGTCCCGTTTTGACACCTTTTCGTCCCACTGTGAGCCGCCCGCGCGTAACCGATAACGCGCAGAAAAATCGCTATAACTCACGAACGAATCGTTTCCCCAAGATCAAGCAAAGTATGGTAGATGCAGAATTTTATGGAGAATCACCTCAGCAGGTTTTTATTCACGTAGCAACGATTCCAAAGAGAGGAGAGACGAAAAACGAAAAAAAGTCGAACCTTCAAAATCGAAAAAATCGAGTTATGACCGCGATAAATTACGCAACCTTGCAAACAGCATTTATATTCTTGTAGAGAATATTTTTTGACATTTTTTAGCGCAAACCGCAACACTTACACTCAAACCGTTCGCGAGATATCGATTATTAAAGTTTTAAAAAAATTGCACTTTTGCCCCCCTGCCCCCTCCCCCCTAATTATCCGAGGGGGCTGAAATTTTGCCCAAGCATCGGGGACACTTAGTACAACATCTGAGCAAAGTTTGGGCCGAATCCAGGGGGGGGGGGCCAAAATCGGCGTTTTTGGAACAACCTCTTTGCAAGACAAATAACACCCTGGTTTTCATTTAAATTTTACAACATGTACCTGAAAAGCGTATTTAAGGGAATTACGCTAAAAACTGATTTCTCTAGAAATTTCAGAATTTCAACGATTTTCGGCTTTTTGACAGCTGAAAACTGAGGATACGATTCAACGATGGTAATCATCGTTTAGAGCATAAAATTTCCAACAAATTGGATACCTGCAATTACTGTTTTGAATTTTTTAAAGAGGGTTAGGTATGGCGTTAAAGTTGTCCATTGGAAAACCCGGCTGCTCGGTTACGAACCACTTTCTTAACATATACTCAAAATTTTTATGTTTAGTAATTTTTGTTTGAAGTAAACTTTATGGTACCAATGTAATAGCACATGAAAGTTAAAAAAATGTCAATGAATAAATTTTTGAAGGTATTTAAGTGTACTTAGAAGCCAATTTTTAAGACAGTGAAAATTTACAAATTATTCAATAACAAGGCTTTTTCTCGGGTTTTTGTGGTTTTTCATGGCTGCAAACAATTTTTTTCATCAAACCATGGTAATCATCAAAAAGCTGATAAAATTTTATGTAAGAAATGTACCTTTATTTGTATTTTGGCGTCTCTCGTGAAAATGCGGAGGCAATGTTGAAAAAAATTGCAATTTGCCCGAAAAAAATTTTCCTACGGTTTTTCTTATTTTTTACGTGTTAAAAGGAGTTTAAGAAAAAAAGGGCTATACACAGGGCTATTGAA